CCCCCCCATCCTATGCCCAGGCCTTGGCAAATAAAGGGACGGTGCTGAGCCCCGTGTCTCGCTGCTCTGGGTGCGGTGGCAGTCCTGGGGACAGGAGGGACATGGGCAGCGCGGGGGCCATGGTGGTGCAGGAAGATGTCCCCAGCACCCCCAGTGTGGTGTCACCTCACACAGCATCCTGTGGGGCCACCTGGGCCATGAGTGCGCCAGGTCTCTGCCCCATGGGGTGATGCCCATGGCCGGAAAATGTCCCTAGGGGCTGGCAGCACCCATGGGTGCCTAGGTGCTGGTCCTTGCGTGAACATCTGACCCCGACATGTTTGGGAAAGGTGGGAGATGGCCTGTGGCTGCCAGCCCTGGATCCCCAGTGGCCCCACATCCTTGGTGTCCCCAAATCACCCATGTCCCCAGGTCCCTCCTGTCTCCAAATCCCATGTCCCTGCATCCCCTCATCCCAGGGTCCCCTCAGCCTCCATGTCCACATGGCCCTGATGTCCCCACCCCCCTGTTATCAGGGGTCGCTGCATCCTGATGTCCTCAGTGTCCCCAAACCCACAGTGACCCCAAAAACACCCCTAAAGCCCCTCTACACCCCCAGGGCCATCCAGACCCCAGGACCCCCATCCCTGCCTGCTCACTTCTGCCAGCCACTGCCTCCAGCTGCTTTTCTCACCAAACCTCCCTCCCTCATTGGACTCGAATAATTAGCGCTGGGGCTAATTAGTTATCCAATTATCCCTGCCTTCGCTCCCCTCTCTGGGGCACAAGCCTGGTCACGATGATCCGCTGTGAAAACATGCGATTCCCACGCGCCGCTCAGCCTTATTAAAAGATTTCTCGTTGGTGCTGACATTAGGCACATGTGAGCCCTGCCCCACCCCACCCCAAAACACCAGAATTTCACCCCAATTCCTGCCTGGGACTACACAGCTGGATCCTACTGCATCCATCACCAAAGAAAAGCCCTTTTATTGTTGCTGGGAGGGACGGGGACAGCACAGAAGGAGCGAGCAGGGGGGAAGGAGCCCACGGGACCTCAGGGGGACACGGTCAGGCCCCAGTGCCCATGGGAGGGGTGGGCGAGCCAGGACCCCCCGGCCCCCCAAACCCCGTCCTCCTGCTACTTCTAAAGCAACACCAAGGGAAAAGACTCAACAAGGGGCGGGGGAAGGTGGCAGCTGGGCTGGGCTCTTCCTTGTTCACAGTGAATTTGGGGTTGATGGAGGAGGGGAGGGATCCCACGCTCACAGGTTTTGCTAAAAAAAAACCCAACCAAACCACCCACTTTGGCCTCGTTGGATCTCCTCCGCAGGGGAGCTTGCTCACGCATGATTTCAACCCCCGAAGCATGGTTTAGGGAGAGGGAAGGCAGAGAAAAGCCTTCCAGTGGGGACAGTCGGGAGGAAAACAGGGACACTCATGGCAGCCCCGGTGGCGAGTTCCTGTATGCTTGGGGAGGGGGGTGGTGGCAATGCTGAGGAGCCAGGTTTCAGCTCTCCAGGTGACGTTAGACCCCTGTGAGATGCTAAAATCAACCCAGTGAGCTTTGTCAGCGAGCCAAAATGGGGAAAAGTGGTTTCTCTGTCGTGGCCACATTGGTTCTGAGGCCACGGGGTCGGAGGGAGCGTGGCAGGAGAGGCAACTTGTTCCCTGAAAATGCCCAGTACGGCGTTTGTCCTCCCCCTCTTCAGCCCTGAAAGAAAATTCACACCCCAAACCAGAGGGAGGAGGGGGAGGATCAGCACTCCAGGGGCTCAGGATGGGATGGGACCCTTCGCCCCCACTGAGGGCCAGCTGTGGGGGACGGGAGAGGGCAGAGGAGAGCAGCGCCTGGGTCAGCCCTGCTGCTGAGGGAGCAGGGCAATGGCACTTCACTTGGAGAGAAAAAAAAAAGAACTAAAAGCCACACATCGTTTGGAAGAATCAGGCTGGAGCCAAGTGCTCCTGGAGGGACAGAGCGGCTCTGGTCCCTGTGGCCCCCGCCAGCCCCCTTACTCTATCAGTTCCACATAATTAGCTGGGAACATGCCGAAGTGGCCGTCGGGCCCGTAGCCACGCCACCAGCCCTCGTCGATCATCTCGATGTTGGTGATGATGTTCTCCGGATCGAATGAGATCTCAGTGTCATCAGCTGGAATCAGACAAGAGCAAGGGAGGGGGTTAAAACCAGCCCGAACACTCCCCCCCCCCCAGCCATCCCTCCTGCAGAGCACGCAGCCCCCCCACAGACACCCCTTTGCTTAAAGAAAGGAGCTTGTGACACGTTCAGCTTCCCGATGTCCTGCTGGAGCCCAAACCCCTCCACAGCTGCTTTTTCGAAGCAAATCGGTGGGTTTGTGGCTGGAAAAATCAAGGGCAGCTCAGCCCCACTGCTGCTGTGGAAGGCAGGGGGGGTCCAGCAAACGGTAAGATGTGACTTTCTGCGTGGGAAGACAGGGGAGGGAGGACAGGGAGGAGAGCAAGAAACAGATATTAAGAGAAAAGAGAAGCTAATGGCTTCCTTCACTTGCTTTTCCAGCTCCAGTTTGGGTGGAAGACACTTTATTTAGCACTCTGCTGTGGGACTGCCCAGTGTGAGGGGTTGTCCCGGTTTCGGCTGGGGTAGAGTTAATTTTTCTTCTTAATAGCCAGAATAGTGCCGTGTTTTGGATTCAGTGTGGGACTTGGTATGAGGAGAATGCTGATAACACATGGATGGTTGCAGTTGCTGCTGAGAGATCAAGGAGTCTCCCACTCCCCGTGCCCTGCCTGTACAGGGCCTACGAGAGGCTGGGAGGGGGCAGGGCCAGAACGCCCCCCGTGGAATATTCCGCAGGGTGTAAATCACGGATATAAAGGAGGGGCAGTCGGGAAGGGGGTGGTTCTCTCTCACTTCCAGGATCGTGGTATTTTGGGATCACTCACTGGGAACAGGCTGCGTATCAGTCTCCCGACTGATGAGCAATTGCTTTGTGCATTACCCATTTGTACTTTCAATTATTGTTTTATTTATTTCAATTATTAAACTCGTTTTATCTCAACCTATGCCTCTCCCTTGATCCCTCCAATTTCTTCCCCCATCCTCCAGGCAGGGAAGGGCAAGCGAGTGGCTGGGTGGTGTTTAGCTGCCAGCCAGGTTTAAACCCTGCCAGGGGTGATGATGCCTCCGGTCCAGCTCTCTGGGGCCAGACTGGGCCCAGCAAACCCTGCCCAGTTCAGAGGGAACCCCAGAATTCTGCGGGTCTTACCAGCCTGGTAGTCGTAGAGTGCCCGGGCACACAGCCCCTTCCCCGTCAGGTCTGGTGGCTGCTGGTACTCGACTGCGTAGTCGTATTTGGCACCGTCAACTTGATCCTTCAGGAAGAAAAGAGGCAGAAAAGTTGTTACCAGCATGAATGATGCTGCGATGGGCAGCTCGTGCTTTGTTAGCCACAGCGAGGGTCTGCGGCCCGGGGTCTCAGCACCCCAACACACAGGGTGCACGTCGCCCCGCTCTGCTTCTTGCAGCCCTGCTCGGTTTCGGGGTGGATCGGGGGGTGTTGCACTCCAGGAACTGCAGGAGAATCCAGTGGGAAGAGGGAGTATGACACCGTGCAACACCCAGAGATTTAGATCAGCCCCTCCCCAAGCCTCAGAGAACTGCGTGCAGCAGGTTCCAGATGCTCCCCCCTGGAACAAAAACGCTGGCTCTGCGATGGTCGTGCCACGTGTCTGCCAGGAGATACAGGAGATGAGCGTATAAACCAGCCTCACAGCGCAGAGGGAAGGCGGCCAGAGCCCCGCTTGGGCTCACAAGCCAGCACCGATGCTGCCATGCCTCCAGCCCAGCAGCCAGCACCACAGCCAGAAACACTGGAGACCAGCAGCAGACAACTTCTGGAAGCTAATCCCTGAGGATCTCCGCTGCAGACAGCGGTTCGTCAACCCCACATCGAGGCCTGTTGAAGCTGGACAAGCTCCAACTCCAGTTTTCCAAGTATTTCTCAAATTGCTATTTTGAGACCTGAGCTGGCTGCTTTTTACTTTTCTTTCATAGAGAAAGGCTCAGGCAATCGCTCAGCCCATCTCCTTCTCCTTTTGAACGAACTCGGCACTTTCAGACAAATTTGAGAAGCAGAAAGATAAGTATGTTTGAAATACTTAAGGTTTTGTGAGCTGGGGGGGGTGGGACAAGAGAGATGAATAGAGGAGAGGAAATGAAACAGCCACCACATCTCCAAGGGAAACACTGCCGCATGACACAACCCCACTATTAGACGCTGGAGAATCTGACGGAGCACGCCAAGAATAGCTGAGCTTTGTCAGCTTCGCTGGTTTTGGATATGCAAAGAAGCAGAAGAAGGAGGAGAAAGTGCTTTGGCAAAGAAGCTGATGGAAGGCTCTCCCCGTGCTCCCCCGCGGGGCTCCAGGGACACCAGAGGGAGCACCCCAGGGTGCGGGAGGGGTGACGGGGGCTCAGCACCAGCCCCTCCCGCCGTCAGCACTGGGGAGGACGCAGCAGCAGCCCCTCGCTGGGTGGATGAGGCCCGAGCTTGGGGGTTTCTCAATTTCCTACTGAGTTCAGCCCAGGCAGCCACACTCTGAGCACCAGAGGGTTTGCACTCAAAGAAAGAGGGTTCCAGACTCATCCTAAAAGATGAGACAAAGCCACGCTCTGGCACGAAGATCCCAGCCAGCTCTCGGGTGCCCTTTTCCCCTCCGGGACCCTCTATCCTCCTCCCTGCACCAACCTGAGGGGGTTCTTCATAGATGGCTGAAGGGTCTGGTGGCTCCTCGTACAGATTTGCCTCTTCCCCATGGGAAGCCGGGACAGAATTGTACCCAGAGTCTCGTCCTGCAAAAGAAACACGAGATTATCTTCACGATATCCATCACCAAAATCTCCCCCTGTCCCCTGGTTCATCCAACTCCTGCTCCAAGGCTGATGTGTCACCAAACTTCTGCGACAAGCTGAACGTCCCCAGGTCTCCTGCCCTGCAGAGGGGATGGGTGCAGCAAGCACAGACCCAGGGGCGAGCAGGGGTTTAGGGAGCGATAAAAAGGACAAGGGAGAGATCCTGGAGCTCTCATTCCTCCGACAGGGAAAGGAATGAGCTTCCGAGCTGCATCTGGTGGTGAGTGGGGAAGGGTTGGCTGAGAGCAGCATCTAGTGGTGACTGCAGCCTGGGGCCACCAGAGCTCGGCCCTCCTGGCCCCCACCTCGGCGCTCTGAAACAGCCGCTGGTTTTGCTCCATTAAAGCAAATCTGTTTCTAGCTGATTGCTGAACCCAATCACTCAAAGGGTTTGTTTTTTAACCACGTAAATTTGGACTTAGTTGGGAAACAGGGAAACGGCAGCTTGGAGGTTGTTTCCCAGCTCCCACCTTCCTGAAGCAAAGCTCCAGTGCATCCTCGAGCCGGGGCAGGGAGCAGCTTGGCGAGCAGGGACGTGAGACCACACAGCCCTTCAAGGACAAGGCACCACATCTGTGCCACTCACAGCACCTGAGGAAACCTTCCAGATACAACCAGCACTCCTCCAGACTTGCTCCTCCCACCCAAACCACTCCAAAGGGGCCAGGGCATCTCACCACATGCAGAAAAAGCTCTTTGTGGCCCGGCTGCCCCTGCCTGACTTGCCCACGACGAGGGCAGCGAGGCCTGGGCAGATGGGCACTGCCAGCCCTCGCCTCGCTGCACTGACAACACACACAGACCCTCTCTGGTCTTTACTGGGATGGAGAAAATGCCCCGTCTAACTGCTAGAGCTGGCCGCTGCGCAGAGGGAAACCACTGTCTGGGGGTAGAAAGTCTTCTTTACTGGGTCTCAAAGGCATTTTGGAAAGGTCTGAGTGCAGCAGGAGGTCTGGAGAGGGGCTCTAGGGGTGCATGTAGCTGAATTTCAGCCTTCCAGCCAGGAGATGTCCTCATCCCCGCGGCTGCTGAACCTCCTGCTAAGCCTGAGAAGGAAAGGAAGGGACCTTTGCACCAGGCAGCAATGTCTCCTCCTTCCCCAGCCTCAGCACCGCACTCAGCTCTTGCCATCCCCTCCAGCTGCAGACAAAGCCTGCGGGTTTCTGGCCTAAAGATCCGCTCACGTTCTGCAGAGGCACGGGAAAACAAAACAGAAACTCGGAGCCTGGTCCCAACGTGCCCATTTTTGAGGATCCTATTTGGAGAGGGAGGTAAAAAAGCTTTGGTTGGGCGAGGAAGCAAAGCCACGCACCTGCTGCGGGTACTGGAGAGGCCGGAGGCGTCCCCCAAGCAGAGGAGGGGGTGAAGGAGGCTGGGGGAGCGTCTCGGGCAGGAGAGACAGGAGAGGCAGGACTCGGCACAGAGTTCACCTCCTTCTGCAGGAAAGGGCTGCGAAGTTTGCCTAGAAAAGGAGTTAAACGTGCTGCAGGAGTCAGGCAGGCATGGAGACATCCAGCGCAACCACGACAGCCCGGTGACTCCCCAGGAATCCCAGGAGTTAGTCACCAAAAAGGGTGTTGTCGGGTGCTTTTCGCCTCAGGAGCCCCACTGCTCCTTATCCTCCTAAGCAGGATTTTCCAGCTTTAATCCTGGTTGGGGAAAACAAGTTTGTCTACTGGTTACAGCAGTTGCTGCAGTCAAGAAAGAAAAAAAAACCCGGCAGACAAAACTTAATTATCAGGAGAAAGAGTAGCTGGAGGACACCTCCACCCAGGCCCTGCTCTTGGGGCTCTCCACAGTGATTTTTGGGGCACCCTGAGTTTCACAGACATTCTGACCAGCAGCTGGGAGGGGTATGATTCAAACTCAAGTACTTTCCTTTGGCAGGAGGCAACTCTGCTGTTATCTCCCCCATCTCTGCCTCTGAATGCAAACAAAAGCAGAGTTAGGAGGCAAGCCCCACAGCACAGCAGTGAATAAGCACCAAGACTTGCCAGCCCATCCTTAGCCCCTGGGTTTTATTGGTGCCAGCGCATTTGTTTTCCTTTCCTCCATTGAGAAACATCAAATACGAACACAAATGAGGGAAATCCTGAGGGATTTCTCACCCTCAGAAATCAGCCTCCCCCCTATTTTTAAACAAAGAAATGTTCACACCGTGGCACTTCATCCTGTCGCCCCGATGGCTTGCCTATCCAAGAAAGCACGTTTGGGCTCATTTCACAAAATCAAAGTGCTTATTTCAAATTAATTCAAGGTATTTTCAAGGAGGTTGAGCTGACTGAGGAGGAGACAATTCACCCAGGGATATCACGTGTTCTCAGCGACTTCCTCAGCTAGTTTCAGCTTTGGTTTTCACAACTTCCTGGTTTCTATCTGATAGATCAGATCAGTCTCTTCTAAAGGGACACACTCTAGTTTGGTTCAGCCAGTGAAAAAAATTGTGTAGAATTTATAGCAGATTGATTCTGACAGTGGTTCCTCTCTGGCATGAATATATTTAGTTTTTAAAATTAAATTTAAGCTGCCTAACCCCCTGCGAGCGTCACCCCCGGCACCACACCTGGCTGGGACGGCGTCACCGCGTCTGCCGGCGCCGACTTCTCCCTCTGCTTGAAGATGTCACGGGGGTTCACCGCCCTCTGCGCTATCAGCGACGCGGCCTCCTGGGAAGGAGAAAAGGCACCACAGCCTTGAGACAGGGAGCAGCAGGAGGTGGGGAGCCGACCCAACGCAGCCCCAACTGCAAAGCGCTCGGGCTCCCGGCAGCGTACCTGGGCTTTCTCCACCGATTCGCTCCTTTTGAAGCCCTTCCGCTGCCTGGCCTCGTACTCCTCGGCTTGCTCCTTCTGCAGCACAAGAAAGGGTTTGCTACAGCCTCGGCAGGCGCCAAGCCAGCCCCCTCCTTCCCCACCCAGCCCCCAGATCCAGCGAAATGGGAACACAGAACAGACATGGCGATGGAGGGTGAATGGGGAGGAAACTCCCTGGATCTGGGAGGGAGACAGAGGTTTGCTGGGCTGAGGAGAAGGTCTTGGGTTCCCCTGGTGTCCCCAGGCTCTGTCCTAGAAAGAGTTTTAAACTCTGCTTTCTCCAGGGGCTGTGCTGGACTGGCCACCGGGAATGTGCTGCCAGTGTGAGAAGAATCCCAGAATCGTCCGGGTTGGAAAAGCCCCCGCAGCCCCTCCAGCCCAACCATGACCCTCCCCCTGACCGTTCCCAACTCCCCCAGACCCCTCAGCGCTGGCTCAGCCCGACTCTTCAACCCCTCCAGGGATCCCGGGGACTCCCCCCTGCCCTGGGCAGCCCATTCCAACGCCCAACAGCCCCTTCTGCACAGAAATCCTTCCTCAGAGCCAGCCTGACCCTGCCCTGGGCAGCTTGAGGCCATTCCCTCGGGGCCTGGCGCTTGTTACTTCATTAAAGAGACTATAAAGGATACACGAGATCCAGCGAAATCAAGGATGGAGCAAGAGACGTGTAGGACCAGCCCGTGGCACCTCTATTGCCAGAGTGTGTCCCTGGGTCTTTCCATGTCCCCCACCTGCCACCACAATGCCCGGGGATGTCCAGGGTGCTCCTCCATCACCCTCCTGCCTCTGCCTGAAGCCTGCTCTGCGCCACGGCACCCTGTCCTGTCTGTCATGCGGGATGCGTGACAAAACCTCACCACAGGGGACACTGCCAAAGCTCACCCATTGCTGCTGCTCCTTGTCCCTGTTCTCTGCCTCCTGCTGCTGCTGGAGTCTTCTGTAGTGACAAATGGGGATTAAAGAACAAGTAGGACAAGCGGTTTGCTCTGCACAGGCCTGCCCTAGGACCTCATCCTACTGCAGCTACGTGAGGAAGACCAGAGGAAGGACATTTCCTCTCACCCCCGGGGCCAGACGAGGAGCCAAGGGCCACCCCCAGAGCTGCAGGGAGCAAGGAGAGAGGGGCAGAGTGGCAGGAGCTGCTTCAAATAGGACCGAACTGGGGAAACCTCTTCCTTTAGGGGATGGACAAGAGCATCCGGCACAGAGGCGCCAGGCAGACTTCCCCATCTGAGCTCAAAACAGGAAGGCAGTGCCCGCTGCTGCTGGCAGAAGTGAGTTCCACCACCTAACAGGAGTCACGCCAGGCTCAGAGAGGAAGGAAATCAGTACAATGCAGGTCACTGCACACACTGCCTCCTCTCTGCAGGGCTCAGAGCCCTCCACTAGCCGGTCCAGACCTCCAGCACCCCAGGAACGGTGGCCACAGGGTTCAGTGTCGTGTTTCAGAAGCATCCTGGAAGGTGCTTGGTGCTGGGGCAGGACCCACAGGCAGGGAGATGCACAGACGATGGTGGACAAGCAGCCAAGGCAGGGAGCAGATGCTCTCTCCAACCCAGAGGCTTGCTGGGGTGGGGGGACACATAAAGCTGGAGGAGCCCAGATCAGCTGGGCCAAATCACCACCACTCCGGGAAGGTGAGTGAAGGCAAACCCAGCTCATTCGCACACTGGCAGGAGCAGGGGGCTATCAGGAGCATCGGACCCGCAGATTGTGGTGCTCGAGGGCAGTGTGTTACAGGGGTGGCCGGGCTGAGCCTGCCCCGGCACAAGCCGAGGCAGATCCCCTCCGCTTTTGCTGCCTTCAAGGAGATTTCCTGGAATTGCAGCAATGGCAGCAGCCGGGAATGCACGGAACAACTCTCCGCTGGCAGCGCAGGGGCTGGGGCGGGGACAGCACCTCGGAAGAGGTGATGACAAGGACACAGGGCACCACTGGGAGCAAAGCTGAGATCCCAGACAGCGGGATGGGCTCTGGGCATCGTTACAAACACTTGCCAGCGGCAGGGACTCACTTCTGGGCTTCGATTTCGTTGGATCTCGCTTTATATCTCTGCTCTCGTCCCGCCGCTTCCTGCAGCTCCCGCTCCCGCCGCTCCCTCTCTAGCCGCTGCCGCTCCTCCTCCGCTCTCCTCTTCTCCTCCAGCCGGCGGTTTTCTTCATCTTTCTAATGGGAGACGTGCAACAGGTCGTGGGTTTAATCCCCCCAGCTCTCCGCATGCTGCTGTGCAGCACGGCAGATCTCCTGGCAGCTCCCAGGGCTCGTGGCACCCATAACGCTTTCGCAGGCTGAAGTTTCACGCGCTATTGCTAAACCCTGGTAAAACCCCGGTGTAAAGCAACCTGAGTGGGAAGTAAATCCAGAGCAGACTTGTGCTGCTCGAGTGCTGCCTTTACAAAGGTCAAAAACAAGCCTCCTCACCCAAATGGCGTCTGACAGCCCCTGGGAGCCCAGCCCTTACCTCCTGCACCCACCCCAGCAGCCCTGAGCCAAATTACAATGATATAAAAAGCATCTTGCTCTTCGAGACTAATTTCCTCCTCTCCTCGCACCCTGAGGCAGCAGGACCTCTGCAGCCAGCCCAACGCCACGCTGCTGGAGGTCTGGATCCCTGACTCCAGGCAGAGGAGCTGAGGTTAGAGAGGGAGGAGGCAGACAGAGAGAAATCTCCAGCTACATCCAAATGCCTCGCCCTCCTCGTGCCTGGCTGCAGAAGAGAAGCAGCAGCACTCACCTCAGCTTTGGCCCAGAAATTATCTTTATTGACTCTCTTGATTTCAGACATTGCATTTGTCTTCTGGTAGACAGAGCCCTGAGGGGAGGAAGAAGGTGGCATGTGTGAGTGGTAGTCACTGAGCAATGGCCCAACTGTGATCCCAGAGGGACCAGAAAACCCCATCAGAGTCAACTTACCACGGGAGCTTGAGGGCCCGCGTCCTGGAACTTGCTGCTCTCCTTGTGAAAGTTGTAGTTGGCCCCAGAGGCCTTGGCAACTTTCTCCATGATGAGTTCAGGCTCCACATCCTCCTCCGCACGAGCATTGATTGTGACATGAGCCCCCTGAGCGGGGAGGAAGCCAGCACAAGAGTGAGACAGCAGCTCGAGAAGCCACTAGACGTGCCACGCTGCTTTGATAGGTCTTGTCTGTGCTCCCAGAGCTCCCAAGGGAAGGAAAAGGTCTCAGGTGAGGAAGAGAGGTGAGTGGCCACTCTAAGATAACACAACGCTGGGAAAGCAAATATTTCTTGGGGAAGAAAGAGGCTTGTTTCGCCTCCTCTGCAGTCTCCAGAGCTATTTTTGACTGCAAGAGGTTTGTGTTGCTAATCAGCCTCTGAAATGCACGCCCGGGCTATCCTGCAGCGCAGGGAGTATTGAGTGCTGGGCAGCACTGCCCAACCTCTCCTGCCCACAGTCCTGCCTGCAAACAGGTGCCTCTGTGCCACCCTGAAGAGCAGCGTGAGCCCCACAGGATGCAGGTACCCTAACCCAGGGCCCCCCCAGTCCAGGGAGGACACAATTAAAAGAGGCTCAGACCTTTAGGAAGTTTGCTACGGTGCTGACGTGGTTGGCGCAGGCTCCTTTTCTCACGTCATTCACGCCTTCACCAGTCTGCAAAGAGAAACCACCAGCACCTGCTTATCAGAGTCCCATCCCAGGCTGGTTTTATGGCAGCAGCACCTTGATCTAAACCTGTAAATCAGCCATGCTGGCCATGACCAAGGGCTTCACCAGGGCTTACAGCATGGAAAAAGAGCCATCTCTGCAGCAAGCACTGCTCAGAGGGACATGCTGAGCCACCTGCCCGGGGACCGCGGCCACACCACGAGGGCTCAGGCTCCCGCTCATCCTCAAGGACTTCATCCAACCCATCCTAGATGGGTTCAGAGCCACTGACCAGCAGTGTTGCTGCAGCTGAGCCAGCTACGTGGCCAAAGAGATGCAACAGGGAAGTGAATCCTCCCAACCTCCCTTTGCCTGAGCCCATGGGGTTTGGACTACGCACCCACAGCAGTGGGCACGGAACATCCTCGGTACTGCAGCTTGAGGGAGGGGGTTCAACGTGCTGGCTGCCGAGCGTTCGGCAACTACGGTTCAAGAGAGAATTGATGGGAGAAACAGCAATTTATGTCCACCAGATCCCTCCTGTGAAAGAAAGAGGCCTGGCCCCACTCACCCAGTTGACGAGGACGTATTTGGGCAGGCCGGAGTTGGGATCCTTCACCCTGCAGAAGGCATACATCACCTTCCCGCTGTTGAGCTCCTCCACCATCTCCTCCAGGCCACCATCTGCCCCGGGAGAGAAAGGAGAGGGTGTAAGACAAGCAGATCACACACACGTGGTGGGAACAGCCAAGCCTGCAGAGTGTTGAGGAATAGATAAAAATCTCTCTTTTTAATGATTCACAGAATCACAGAATCCTCTGGGTTGGAAAAGCCCCTGCAGCTCCTCCAGCCCAACCATGACCCTCATCCTGACCGTTCCCAACTCCCCCAGATCCCTCAGCGCTGGCTCAGCCCGACTCTTCAACCCCTCCAGGGATCCCGGGGACTCCCCCCTGCCCTGGGCAGCCCATTCCAACGCCCAACAGCCCCTTCTGCACAGAAATCCTTCCTCAGAGCCAGCCTGACCCTGCCCTGGGCAGCTTGAGGCCATTCCCTCGGGGCCTGGCGCTGGGGCCTTGGCTCCAGAGACTCATCCCCCCTCTCTGCCCCCTCCTGGCAGGGAGTTGCAGAGGGCCAGGAGGTCTCCCCTCAGCCTCCTCTTCTCCAGACTGAACCCCCCCAGTTCCCCCAGCCGCTCTCCAGCAGACCTGTGCTCCAAACCCTGCCCCAGCTCCGTTGCCCTTCTCTGGCCACGCTCGAGTCACTCAATGGCCTTTTTGGGGTGAGGGGCCCAGAACTGAACCCACTCCCCGAGGGATGGCCTCATCAGTGCCGAGCCCAGGGCTCAGATCCCTTCCCTGTCCCTGCTGGCCACGCCAGTGCTGACACAAGAATCCCACCTTCTAAGTCCGTCAGCAGCTGTGACAAGCCCTGTTCGTCAAATAGGAAGTAGGAAGAAACCGAGAGGCTGGTGCAAGGTAAGGTCACACTCGCCAACCATAGGAGGAAACTCCTGCTCTCACGATTTCCTTGCTGGTCTTAAACCCACAGGGCCCCTCCAGGCAGGTCTTTGCAGGGGCAGATCTCAGCTATGAGCTTGGGGTTGAAGGAGGAAAATGCACAGAGGAAAAAAAATTGTGCAGGGCTCAGCAGAGGGGCTGTGCAAGACAGGCGAGCGATGGAAAGTGCTATGTTGCCCCACGAACCACAGCATCGCTAGAAACATATGCCAAAAAACTACCAGAAAGGAGGAAAAACTCAAATACATGTGCTCTCATTTCAAAAGAATTCCCACAGACCACGATTCCTCCTGCTTTGGTTTGTCTGACCCCTGAAAAGCAGAAAACAAGCTACTGCTTACCATCAAACCCCAGCAGCAACTGCACAGCCCAGTCTGTTTTGCTCTGCAGTGCAGCAGGACCCGAGATCATTTTCTTCTCCGCTATAAATATTTATGCTTCGGCTCTAAATTTGGCATGGTGGTTTCTAAGCCTGACAGAAAAGTTTAAGGCTGGAAGTCTGAAGCCAGCCGGCTGACAGGAGCCTCGCTGTGCGCTGGGCGGGCCCAGGACTGTGCGTCTGCCGGGTCAATGTTTAACACCGCGGTGGCAGCGAGTATGGAAGGACACAAAGGGAAGGGCTGGAGGAGCAGAGCTCTGCGGGGAGGTCGGGGCTCCGGTATCAGGGAGCAGCAGTTACACTGCGCCTAACTAAGCAGGGTCCAGCATAAAAACCACAGGGGGACTTTTAATTTACAGCAAAAACTCAGCAAGGAGCTAACACCTGTGACAGCCTTCAAATCAGATCTCTCCTCCATACAACCCCAACTCTTGGAAAGCAGCAAATCCACATCTGAGCCCCACTAACAGACCCCGCAGCCGTGCTCTAGCACAGATCCGGTGCTCAGGGGGTCACATCCTCTGCAGCCACCCTGAGGCTCCCCGCAGCCCTTGTCTGCAGCTCAGTCAGAGCTTTTTGCTTAACAAAAGGCCCCAGCACCAAAGCACTCACAACACTGGCTTCGTTGGAGCCACAAAGCTGCCCAGAAACCCCTCACCTGACCGCCAAGCTTTGTGTGTTGCGAGAAACACTTGCAAATGCGAAACGCAGCTGAGCGCTGGAGGATGCAAATCGAGAGAGCGGAGAAACCTGCCTGAATGCGTTGCTTTCTAACAGCTTTAGCTTTGCATTGAGAAGCAGTTGTGTGGGAATCGGCAGCCAGAGGAAAAAGAAAAAAGTCCCATGAAATGGGGAACCAAAGAAAGAAGAAGCACTTCAGCAGCAACAAGCTGGAATCACCAGCCTGAGAAACCCAGCTCTGAAGCACTTCGTGGTCCTTCGTCTTGCGTTCGGCCGGCTGGGATCTAAAATACTTCAGGACTGCAAAGAGGTACAAGGACATGAACTTTGGATCCTTGGGAAAAGAAGAAAACGAAAAGGAAGAGAAGGCAGAGCCACGCATGCGCCTCTCGCCTGCCACCGAGACTCTTCTCTATTTTCCTTACTCAGAAACTGCACCAAACACCCCAGCGTGTGCTCACCTCCGTTCCACCACTGAGGCCACCCCCTGCCAGCACTGAGGGGCCAGAACAGGCTCAGGGATTAAAAAAAAAAAAAAAAAAATCACCCTTTACTGAGGGGTGAGGGAGCCAGCACCGTCTCCCACCACTGGAGCTGTTCCAGGCAGAGGCTGGGTGCCACCAGAAACCCCGAGTGACAAAAGCCAGCCGGACCTCGTGAGCTGAGCCCTGCAAACAGCCCCAGAGGCGGCCAGCGGTGCCAGGAGAGGGGGGGACGGTCCCTAACACGCTCACCTCCGGAGCCGGCCACTCGTAGGTCATTGCTGTTGCCTTCATAGGTGAACAGAGCCCTAAAATAAAGCCAGAAGTGAAGGTTTGATCCAGCTTGCCCCAACCCTCACACCTGGTCAGCATCTCCTCTCCTGCCCCAACTCCTCCAGACCCTCTGCAGCGCACCCCAAAAACTGCCCCGTCCTCAGGGAGCCCATCCAGGGTGTCCCCACGCCGCTGATACCCCCAACACACACCCCACACACTTCCTGATCCCCTCTATACACCCCTGATCCCCCCCAGACACCCCACACCCATCCCACAGACAACCCACACCCCTGATCCCCCCTACAC